ATGGGCCACGCAGCCTGGTGTTGGGCAGCAGTTCCCTGACACTTTGTTCCCTGCCACTAGATGCGTTTGCACTCCAGCTGGGTATAGAGGTGGTGGGCATGGCTGCCCAGTCATCCTCGTCGTCATTCTGACCCGTTGTGATGCTGTTGTTGTTGGTTAAGATATTGGTTAAGTGTTTGGCGTGGAAAGGGGGGGGGGGTGTAGTCTACGCCTAGGTGAGGGTACACCCGTGCCAGTCAGCTGCGCCCTCTCCCACCTCTGGTCTTCTTGACTATGCCTTAGCACGGGATCCAGGCTGGGAGGGGGGAGTGCGGTGGATTCTGCGCAAGTCTTCCCCCACAATACAAAAAATTCATTTGCATGTCACCGTGCCTGCTTCACCTTACTGTGCAGCACACGGTGGACATCGTCGGTTGCGATGGTCGAACTGTCATAGCGCGACGACTGCTGGAGGCGGTTTAAGAGAAAGTAACTACCTGATCGGAGAAGAGGATACCCAGCCTCCCAAAACTCAACTTCTGGGCTGTCTAGTTTGGGGTTTATGCGCAGGGTAAGGTTTATAGGTCTCCACACCCAAATCTCTGGATCCTGAGCGTTCAGAGCGTAAAACAGGACCACATAATCCAAGCTCTGGTCCAGAATTATTACTGTGATCGAGACAGATGTTGAATATGCGACGTTGGTAACTCTTACTATATGCTTCTTTTGATGTCATTGATTAATATTCCACTCAAAATGCTTAATTTCCTGCGTATTTCTTCTCAAATGTCATATGTCAGAAAGTCCAGGTATCAATATCTTACACGTTGCACATGGGCGCCGAACAGCCTAAGTGGTATAGCTATGTGAAAACTCGAAGTTAGAACTTACATTGACGGATGACGTTGTCGTGTAATTGATATCCCTGATGTCCGAGAGTGGGGGGTGGATTACTGAATTGAATCAATACCACAATGTAATGACGTCTACTTAAGCTACAGCAAACTGAGGATTCTAGCACAATTAACTCCACAGCAGACGTCTGACCGCGGGCTGCTTGTTTTTGCCACGTTTCGTTTTTAGGTTACTGCCTTATTGAGGTTTTGCTAACTATTCTGAGCTTTAAGCCGAACTTCCACAGGGCGATTGTTGTCCTCACTAGTGTTGACAGACGATTTAAAATTCTATATGGAATCCTGCAGCCCTGACAAGATAATGGAGGCTATTAAAGGAGTATTTGCAGTCGTCTGCCATCGTTGTTTGGCTCACTCCCGCCTCAAGGTCGCCCAATTTTCCTGCCAGCGTTCCCAGACGTGTCGACCGTGCAGGCTGTAATTGCAATCAAGGCACGGACGCGCATGAAAACAGACGCAACCGTCCTTGCTTCATGTGCCACAACACAAAGAAGGACTCCTTAACTTGTGCGCGCAAGTCAATGAAATCATCAGCCGTCATGGTAGACTGAGTCTTCTTCAGGTGTGGCTTATCGCTATCAGTGAAAACTTTGTCTCGTCAGGAGATCCAATCTCCTGGGACAACAGCCGATTTTCATATACAGACCATATCCAGATTTTGTTCTCTTCCTTTTGCTGCTGCAAGGAGGAATTTCGGCTCACTGCCTGGATTTTTGCATACTTTCATGCAACTCACTCCCCTGGGCGACTGGGAGGCTTAATACGGGCCCTGACAAAAGCATGGTAGAAGAGGGTTTCAGCAGTCATGTTGACACCAAGCACGTTACGAGTGTAATAATGGGCAGGGTATCCACGTTCCCAACGCAATTGGCTCTCAATGCTGTCGTAGCTAGAATAGTAGACGGTAAGATGCTTCCCGGGGCGTTTCTAGCCGGAACTCCTGATTGTTAGGTGGTTCGATGCAGCAAAGTTGGAATGCCTCTCATTCTGTGTGCGACGACTTTCCGTTTTCCATGGCAGTTCGCCAGACGCAATCGACAAAAGCCACTGCTGTTATGAGAATGCAGCGTTTAATTGCATATGAGATTATTTATAGTAAGTAATCGAGCTCTTTCTATCTAATTCCCTCTTCCCTAGCCTAGTGTGCTTTAATGGCCTAATTAAATTATGATGACTGAAAGTTCGTGCACGCGCAGTCGCTGATGAGGCCAAAGCCACTTCCACGCGTTCCCCGTATGCGCTAGCTCTTAAACCCGCAGTAATATGTCTCTCAAGAGGCTCTGTGGCCATTTTTGAAGGCAGTTGTAATTAAAGACCAAAACTATAGGGAGCCGCCGCAGAAGGGCTGAGTTTTCCAGTCAGTTGGTACCATAAAAGCCACGACTTTATGCGGATCGTAGCCATATCACGGCGTAATTAGTTGTTTCCGGCGAGGAAACCAAGCACTGGATTCCAACTGAATCGATATGTCTATATATGCAGAACACTACCACCGACAAAGACAAGGGAGACTGAAATGGTCATTTCTGGCTCATTAGCCGTCGTTAGCCAGTCATACCCAACCCCGAAGTGTTGAACACCTGAGGCTCGAACTCGCGACCTGTTAGTTAAAAGTCCGTCTCAGGTGCGACTGCTGGTTGGGCTGAGAGAGGGCCCGTAAGGCACAGTGGAAAGAGTGAGTTCCGTAAAAACGATCGGTGAGCGCCCCTCTACCCTCTGAGGCAATGCACTCAATCGGCATATAGATTTAGAGGTCACATACAAATGTCTCAAGGACAAATGAAGGCGGGCGCAGCCAAGGCCGAGGGGTCTGATCCTAAAAACTCATGTCCCGGAGGCTTAATTTCATGTCCTACACTGAATAATTTCTGAAATCATTTCGTTTGATCCTTCTCTAGGGTTCATATTACCAGAAACTGCATAGGGGATGGGAGGGGGACCACTGAAGAGCCGAACCCCTCGCAACTGTCAGGCAGCGGCAAGGTGTCGGCGAAACACGTGTCTGGGCTTTTAGTTAGTATCTATGTCGGGAGAACGGTATAATACGTTTGCCATACGCATATATATATTGCCAATTAAAGCGAAAATGCGCGTCCCCGGGGATAAATGAAAAGAAGAGGCGATCTCGGGAACCATAGGTTTAATAGCCTGACGTTTCAAAAGCAAACAAGCTTCCATCATCGGAGGTGGGTTCTGTACGGCGCCTCACAGTATTTATGGGTGCTGAGCATGCGGGAGTGTTGTCGTTCTTACTGCTATTCGTGCAGGATCTGCTGCGGGGGGAGGAGTTAATTGCTGTCGTGCTGGCCGGTCCCTTCCTCGTCTCCTAGTCGGGTGGGCTGAGTCGGGATGGCAACGGTCATTGACCTCGTCTGCATTACCCGCATTTGTTGTGCCTGACCCGCATTTCTCGTAATTGTCGCCCGTTTGCCTCTGCCCGTGTGCACCTCTGTGGTTGCTGACCCGTTGCTTGTGTCTCCTTTATCGGCCTGTTGACCCCCGTCATCGGTGTTTGGGCGCGAACAGTGTTCATTTGGGCTTGTGGTCCTGACTTCCTGCCTTTGATTCCGTTGGTTGAATCGCACTCGTAGGGCCTGGTAAGCCGCCGGGAGAATCGTGCAGCGGTTGATGGAAGTTGGCACGGTGTGCCAGGCTTCGAGCGTTTCCCTGGCTGTCTGGTCGGTACCTCGGCCTAGGATTTCGGCGTTCTGGAAGGCGAAAGTGTGTCCAGAGGCAGCACAATGTTCCGCCACCAGTGAGAGTTGGTGCGCGCTCACCGATCAGGTTACGGAACATGCTCGTTCCGTTATGCCTTGGGGCTCATACTAGAACCCTCGCAGGCAGCCGCACAGCGACTAGTAGTAGACGTAGATGAGATGATGCCGACAAAGACAAGGGAGACCGAAATGGCCATTTCTGGCTTATTAGCCGTCATCAGCCAATCATACCGAATCCCAAGTGAGACTGCCTGCGAGGGTTCTAGTATGAGCCCCAAGGCACAACGGAACGAGCATGTTCCGTAACCTGATCGGTGAGCGCCCATTGTCATGATTAATATTACCGATCACATC